CCATGATTCAGAAGAAGACTCCCAAGAACAAAGCACACCTGGTTCGCCGACTTGTTAAGCTTGAATACAAGGACGGCATGAGCATGATTGAACACCTGAACACCTACAAAGGTATTGTGAATCAGCTGTCAAAGGCTGATATGAAAATTGATGAAGAATTGCAGGCATTGCTGCTGTTGAGCTCGCTGCCAGAAAGCTGGGATACTCTGGTGGTGACCTTGAATAACTCGACTCCAGATGGAAAATTGAAGATGGATGTCGTGACAGACAGCCTCCTGGGCGAAGAATCCAGGAGAAGAGAACGAGGTACTTCGAGCACGTCTGAGGCCAATGTTGCTGAGAACAAAGGGAAATCTGACTCCCGCAGTAGAAGCAAAATCCGAGGTAGAGGTCGTGACAGACGAGACAAGTCCAGAGGTCGGTCAAAGCCGAAATACGAGTTGAAGTGCTTTTACTGTGGAAAGACAGGTCATAAGAAGCCAGACTGTTGAACCCTACAGAATGATGAGAAGAACGGCTCTGTGAAGCCGGATCAGATTATTCCCAAGAAGACGGAAGACAAGAGCACCACTGCGGTGGCTGCAAACCCTGATGCTGAGATATTCCTCCTTGGTGAGGATAATTATTTGAATGTTGCATATGATGACTGCACCTGGATTGTTGACTCCGGTGCCTCCTTCCACGTTACTCCACACAAAGGTTTTTTCTCCTCTTATCGAGGTGGTGATTTTGGAGTCGTGAAGATGGGAAATCAGGTGACCAGCAAGATTGTTGGTGTCAGTGATGTAACTCTGACCACAGATGTCGGATGCCGACTTGTGTTGAAGGATGTGAGGCATGTTCCTGACATGCGTTTGAACCTAATCTCGGTAGGCAAGCTTGACGATGCCGGGTTAGTGAACTACTTCGGTAGTGTGAGATGGAAGCTGGCCAAGGGAAACTTGGTCGTGGCCCGAGGTAAGAAAGAAGGCTCCTTGTACGTGATGCAAGGAAAGATCAATGGCGGAGAAGCCAATTCTGTTCGAGATGAACCTAGCTTGGAGCTATGGCACAAGCGCCTCGGCCACATGAGCGAGAAAGGGCTACAGATCCTAAACAAGAAAGGATTATTGACCGGGTTGAAAGGCCAAGCGTTGGAGAGTTGCACGCACTGCCTAGCTGGAAAGCAGCACCGGGTTTCTTTTGTGAGACCGGATCAACCAAGAAGACGAAGGAATATTCTTGACCTCGTCCATACTGATGTTTGCTCCATGTCGGAGAAATCTCTTGGAGGAGCTCAGTACTTTGTTTCATTTATTGATGACCATTCCCGCAAAGTTTGGGTATATTTGTTGAAGACTAAAGACCAGGTACTCCAATCCTTTAAAGAATTCCATGCAATGGTTGAAAGGGAGACTGGCAAGAAATTGAAGGTGGTTCGATCTGATAATGGTGGTGAGTACTGCAGCCCATTTGATGCATACTGCAGAGCGGCCGGAATCCGACTTGAGAAGACGCCCCCCAAGACTCCATAGTTGAATGGACTTGCTGAGAGGATGAACAGAACTATTGAAGAGAAGGTCCGAAGCATGTTATCCAATGCCGGATTGCCGAAATCATTCTGGGGATAAGCCGTCAAAACTGTTGTTGATTTAATCAACCTCTCACCATCACAGCCACTTGAAGGAGAAATTCCAGAAGAAGTCTGGACAGGTCGGAAAGCGGCCTATAATCAACTGAAAGTGTTTGGATGCCGAGCTTTCGTGCATATCCCTAAAGATGAAAGGGCCAAACTTGATGCAAAGACTAAAGAATGCATTTATCTTGGTTCGCCGAGATGTGAGTTCGGGTTCCGACTTTGGTATCCAATCAATAAGAAGATCGTGAGAAGCCGAGATGTGATCTTTCATGAGCATGAGAACATTCATGACATCTCGAAGCCCAAAGTCCGGGTTACTATCAGATGTGAAGAACCCATCCCTCCTGTCCGAGCTGAAGCAGGGGGAGAAAATCAAGAAAATGATGATCAGCAACAAGCTGAAGATGACCAAGACACTGAGGTCCGAGTTGATGATGAGATCCGGGATGAGAATGATGAACCGGGTCCTCAAGCTGAAGAACAGCCGAGATATCCAACTCGAGAAAGAAGACCCTCTACGAGATACCCATCTGATGAATACACCGTTGTTGCTGAAGACGGTGAGCCTCAGAGTTATGATGAGGCTGTGATGAGCTCAGAGAAAGAAGAATGGAAAAATGCAATGCAAGACGAGATGAAGTCTCTGCACGAGAATCAGACTTATGAGCTGACCGAGTTGCCAAAAGGAAGACGAGCTTTGAAAAATAAATGGGTCTACAAGATTAAGAATGAAGAGAACGGGAAAAAGCCGAGATACAAAGCCCGGATTGTAGTGAAAGGCTGCAATCAGAAGAAGGGTGTAGACTTTGAGGAGATTTTTTCTCCTGTGGTGAAGATGACCTCGGTCCGAACCGTGTTGTCTATGGCGGCTTCAATGGACCTCGAGGTAGAACAAATGGACGTGAAGACGGCATTTCTTCACGGTGATTTAGAAGAAGACATATATATGGAGCAACCTGAAGGATTCCAAGCTCCAGACCAAGAAGACTTGGTATGTCGGTTGAAGAAGAGCCTCTATGGCTTGAAGCAAGCACCTCGGCAGTGGTACAAGAAGTTTGAATCATTCATGACTGATCATAAATTTGAGAAGACTGAAGCCGACCACTGCGTATTTGTGAAGAGGTATGAGGCCGGAGATTTTCTGATTTTGTTGTTATATGTTGACAACATGCTTATTGTAGGGAAAGATAAATCGAGGATAGCTGCCCAGAAAAAGGCGTTGAGCTCGTCCTTCGCAATGAAGGACCTCGGCCCTGCAAAACAAATTCTCGGAATCAAGATTATCCGAGATAGACAGAAAAAGCTACTGTGGCTGAGTCAAGAGAAATATATTGAGAAGATTTTGAAGAGATTTAGCATGGACAAAGCCAAAACAGTGAGCACCCCCCTTGCCGGACACATAAAGCTAAACCAGAAGCAATGTCCGAGATCTGATGAAGACAAAGATGAGATGATGAAGGTCCCGTACCAATCCGCCGTCGGAAGCTTGATGTATGCAATGGTTTGCACTAGACCCGACTTGGCGTATGTTGTTGGAATGGTAAGCCGGTATTTGTCAAACCCCGACAAAGAGCACTGGGAAGCAGTGAAGTGGATCTTCAAGTACCTCCGAGGTACGACAGACTTTTGTTTCCGATTTGGGGAAGACAAAGCCGAGTTGCAAGGCTACTCGGATTCTGATTTAGGGGGAGATTTCGACTCGAGGAAGTCGACTACAGGATATTTGATGAGATTTGCCGGAGGAGCTGTCTCTTGGCAATCAAGACTTCAGAAATGTGTTGCACTATCGACAACTGAGGCTGAGTACATTGCCGCTACTGAGGCAAGCAAAGAGATGCTATGGATGAAGAAGTTCCTCATGGAACTCGGCCATGATCAAGACAAGTACGAGCTGGGTTGTGACAATCAAAGCGCAATCCATCTTGCAAAGAATTCTACCTATCACTCCCGCACAAAACATATTGATGTGAGGTATCACTGGATCCGGGATGTGGTGGAAGGTGGAGAGCTCGAACTCGTCAAGGTGCACACTGACAAAAATTGGTCCGACATGATGACAAAGCCGGTTCCAGCAAGAAAATTTGAAGACTGCTGTGAAGGAGCCGGTTGTTGCTGAAGCCGACACATTGAAGTCGGAGGGGGAGATTTGTTGGGCTTCCTCCTTCAATGCTAAGCCCAAGCTCATTTGAGGGGTTTCCTAAAAACCCTAACCCTAATGTCCACCTCGTCTATATATACTCATTAGTTGAGGGTGGAGGCTAGGTCAGATTTGAGAGAACAAATTTGAGAGAAAAATTATTTGATTGTTTGAGTAAAGCTTTATGCTTTGCATTTGAGAGATCTCTAGAGAGAGTTTGAGTGAAACATCTCTAGGGTAGTTTGATTATCACCATTGTTGGAGAGGTTGAGTTAACCACCACATTGGTGTATTTGATTATTTGTAACCATTATTTTCATAGTGGATTTCTGATCTGGACTAGGTCCCGTGGGTTTTTACTTCTTCATTGGAGAAGGTTTTCCCACGTTAAATCTGGTTGTGTTCTTCTTCTTCTCTCTCTCTCTCTCCTGTGTTTACGTTTTGATTTTTCCGCTGCGCTGCTCGACCTGGTGAAGTTCAGGCCGAGGTATTGCCGAGATCCGAGATCAGGATCTTGTTGATTGACTTCCGCACAAAGGCTGCTTAGCCGAGTTTGAGGGAACCGAGTTTTCCCAACAGTGTTGTGCATGAAATGAGCAAACTTCAGGGAATCAGATGCATTTTTGATTTCGTTCCTGACAGCTTGGAAGGTGGGTGCTGAAGGTGCAGTGGCTTGGATGTTGCTGAGAAGCTGCTCTCTATCTGTCTTCTTTTGTTCTTGGAATTTGGTGAAGGCAGATGAGAGTTGCTCTAATTTGTTCTTTAGAGCCTTCAGTTCTTCAGTAGTGTTAGTCATATCAATCTGAAGAACAGATTTCTCTTCAGTAGCAACTTCTCAATTTTCTTCCCCATCATTTCAAAAATCTCAGCAATTCCAATTTGAGATTTTCTCCTTGATGCAAGAAGGATTGCTGGGATGGGGGATGCTAGCTTCTTTTTCTTCTAGTTGTTGGTTTTGCCAGAAGCTGGAGGTTCGTCAAGTGCTTGCCTGTTTGCAACCTCCTTTATTTTTGAGGAAGAAGAGGTTGTTATAGTTTGTTCCTCCATCAGTAGAGGAACTTCCAAGCCCTCCTCTTATGCTAGAGCCCTAGTAATGGCCTCGTCCTCAGAAGTATCGGGACAGATAATGGGGCAAGAGAGGGACCCTCCCAGGCTGATTTGCCTGGGCACAGTTGGCTTTTTCTTTTTAGGGGATTCAACAAGAATCCCTTTTCCTTTGTCAAGTTTCTTTTGTGGCTGAGCCTCTTACTCAACCACCTGTTCTTCTGCAGCAGGGGCTGCATCTGTTTCCTTAATTTCCTCTCCTTGTTGTTTCCTAGGAGAAGGTTGTTGTGTTCTTGGTGGTGGTGAAGAATGAGCAGGTGATGGTGGAGGGGACGGAACGTCAGAGGAATCAGAAGTAGCAGAGCTACTTGGGAACGTCTCCTTAGCAGCTGGTGTAGGTTTTGACGTTCCTCCTATTTTCAGCCTTTTTGCAATAGGCTCATTGTCTTCACTATCTTCCTCCTTGTCAGAGAGAGTGATGGGCTTCTCAGAGGATGCTCCCTCTGGCCTTTTGGTGCTGCTGAAGGTTCTCTTCAGCCTCTGACTGGAACGTTCCCCCTTTCTAGGGGGAGCTTTGGCAGGAGATTTCTTTTTGTCATGTTTGCTCTCAGTAGCAACAGGGGCTTCCTTCTTTACCTTTGTGGGAAGGGGAACAGTTCTTCTTGCCTGGGTGTAGGAAGAAGTGGTTGTTGATTTTGAAGGGGAGTCCTTCGTGGTTTTCTTCTTTGGGGCCTCAGGGCCCTCTTCATCCTCAATTTCATCAACGTCACGTCTGACGTTGTAACCTTCAAGACATGGAATGTCTGTCTCAATGTAAGTAGTCCTCAGATTATTCCATGTTTTGAAATCGATGACAGACCCCAACACTAGGTCTTCATCCTCGTAAGTCTTTACTTTAGCTCTTAGACAGAGCTTTGTGATCAGGCAGGGAAGGCAGACGGTATCTTAGTATATAGGTGTCCTAGAGACAATCTGTTTTATCAGATGAACACCTTTTTCTATTTAGTATTTCATGATTAATAAATATGAGCAAACTTTATCTATATCATATTTATGTCTCGCTGTTGTGTATTTAGCAAGTGTACTAGTCACACAAGTAATAAAATGATGAGTAAAGATCGTTCCCACGAGGATTTGTAATCAAGCACCGACTAACCATATATACTTAAGTTGAATCAAACAAAAGATTATTGATTACATTGATTTCTTGTCACCAGAAATTGAATTGAATTGTATTAAAACTTAATAAGCAAATAAAATGTGAGTTATAATGTAAACAAGTAGTCAGACATCAATTTCCCTCAAGCATGAATATACGGATGAACCAATTTCTATGATGAATTATCTTCTATGTGATGTTGATCAACCTTTTTCTTATCATCAAGATGTAATCCCTTACTACCCTGATTGAAACATTAATCAGAAACCCCAATGTCTTGGTGATTCCCATCTTAATACATGCATTAAATACTAAGATCTTAAGATCACATCAGAATCCTAGCATCAATCCCTGGACTACTAGAACACTGATGATGAAGTTGTCAATTACATAAACAATGTAAACATCCCTGTTCTACGCTATTCCCTTGATAGAAAGAATTAATCAAGACAACTTCATACAATCACATAAGAGATAAACAAAATATTCGATTGACCATTCATAAATTCACACTTAAGTTCCATTGAATTAGACTATAAAGGACTCTACTCAGACATAATTAAAGAATAAACAAGAGAAGAAGAAAGATCAAACTCCATTGTCATGATGGTTGAGTCTTCAATCTTCAATTACAATTACATAGAAATGTACTAACTACTACAAAAACTAATCCTAAAGAATTTAGAAGTTCAAAGAGAATGAGGAGTCAGATCAGATCTATGAAAGATCTGATCTGATCTCCCCTATCCTAGTGGGATGGGAAAAGTTAGATTAGAATAGATATATAGGATATGATAGGATGAAGGTCCTTTGCCCCTTTTATAGTTTACAAATTCTAACTGAATAACATCCAAAAACTGACACAAGCGCTAAAACTCTCATTGTTGGACGTTTTAGCGCTCAACTTGACGGGTGCCTAACCACTTTTAACTGTCCTGGGCGCTAAAACGCTTGACTTGACCGTTTTAGTGCTCAACACCAGCATCTTTGTGAACAGCAGGGCGCTAAAATGTTTGCTTTGGGAGTTTTAGCGCTCAGCACCAGCACTTTTTGGCTTCATTTTGCAGCAGGGCGCTAAAACGCTTGACTTTAGCCGTTTTAGCGCACAACACTTAGAATTTTCCCATTCTTCAGGATCTTCTTCCTTCTCTTTTTTGCTTCTTGAGCTTCATTTTCCTACAAGAACAATGTAAATTTTCAACATCAGCTTCAGAACTTGTATTTAGGATTTTCTAGGACATTAACCCTCTTTTCCATCAATTTAATCACATAAATTAAGCTAATTCATGCTTTAAAACTTTATAAACCAAGGGTTTATCACAATTCTTAGATTTGAACATTGTTGTCCTCAGCAATGAATTAAAAACAGAGAAGAAATTGAGATTCTTTACAAATGAAATTCATGAGTATAAACTTCAATTGACAGAAGATCAACATTTTATGATACAAGTTTATAACCATGCAATCTCTTATTTCCTATGATTTGCCCAACATCATTTGTGATTTTTCAACAGATCAGTAGAGATTATATATAGAGACTTCCAAACAAAACACCCCCTCACTAGGAACTTCTCAAAAATTATGATAATTTGACTCTCTTGCACTCTAGTGTTTAAGGGTGCACTTATCACTCAATCTTCACTGTACTCAAACTATCATAAGCTTGCCCATCTTCTCACTTTCTACAGTAACAATGATCCATAGAGCAGATCAAAAAGGTCTTTGAATAGTTGGCAATATGGCTTGGTATGTGGCTTGACTAGGGGTAGAAGTTTATGTTAAAGGAAGGGTTAAGATTAAATGAATCAGATTCAGCTAAGAGGAGGATCACAGTATTTATCATCTTTTTCTTAATTCCCCCAACTTTCTTCCTTTTCATTCCTTGTACTTTCTTTGAACCTTTCTTCCTCCTTTTTCTTCCAGACACTTTGTGTCTTTAATCCTTTTTTTTTCTTTTTTTTTTCTTTTTTTTCTTTCAGACACTTTGTGTCTTTAATCCCCTTTTCTTTTTCTTCCTTTTTTTCTATATCTCCAACACTTTGTGCATTCATTCATTACAGGAAACACTTTTCTCCCAGCAGAAATTTTCATCCATTATCACTTATCTGAACTTTTTAATCTAAAAGATTGGAATGAATGTAGGGTCTTGGTTTTATAGACAAACATGCTTAAGCTCAAGGGTTTCATGCAATGGAAACATTAAGGTTGGCCATTTAAACTTTCTGGTTCAAGATGGAAGTGCCTCAATCATTTCTACCCTACACATCATAAACCATTTCAAGCAAGAAACAGGGCAAGTTCTAGAGTTATTCATGCAGTGAAGTGCTCTATGAATAAAATTTTCTGTATAGGCTCAAATTCTCAGTTCAGAGTGCATGCTTGACTTTCTCTATATGCATCAAAACTAATCTCTCTACTCTTACACATTGAATGAGTCATGGCATCATTTCATTTAAGCTCAACATGCAAGGTATAAGATTGTATCCTTAATTTGATCAATCATATAAAACTTTGATCAGTCTAATCCTCATAGAATTCCATATCACAACTGAAATCCAAAATCCAAATCACACAAGAAAACTTAGAAAAGAAAAAGATTGAGATATTTCCCTGTTTTGGCTCATTAATTTGTGTGACATCTCCATGAAGTTTGCATGCCATTCAATCACACCCAATTCCCAGATTTAAACGTTGCTGTCCCCAGCAACTAATTTAAATCTAAAACAACAATTGATCACTGAAACACATTCATATATAAACCAATAGCATCAGTACTATCGCAATGTGCATCATGCAAAAACAGTGAATTTCCCAATGTACTTAACTGAATTACAAAAGTAAACTAATAACAAGATAAAACTAAAAGAAACTAAAATTAGAATAACAGAAACTAAAGAGGAGTGAAATCAAAAGTCAATGTGGGACACAAGAGAAGAACAACCCATGATGCTCGAAATGAGGAAGGAAGATTGTAACATACATTGTGGTTGATTGGTGGATGGATGCAGAAGAGAGGTAAAAGAATTTGAGAGTGTGTGAAATGAGAGTGAGGGAGTAGAATATGAGAGTGTGTGAAACATATGAGATAACCATGTAAATCATATAAGTGGACCAATGCTAAAACGTTGAAATCAAGCATTTTAGCGCTGGTCTCCATAGACAGATGCATAATAATGTGCGTCGCATCACGCTAAAACGGTCACGTCTGAACGTTTTAGCGCTCTGGACCAGAATTTTGAGAAAAATAAAACTTCACACATTAATATAGATTGCTGAAAAATAGAAATTCAATCTCAAATATTAATGGTGTCTGTCAATGTTGAAAGAACAAATCCCCGGCAAAGGCGCCAAAAACTTGTTGTGTATTTAGCAAGTGTACTAGTCACACAAGTAATAAAATGATGAGTAAAGATCGTTCCCACGAGAATTTGTGTTCAAGCACCGACTAACCATATATACTTAAGTTGAATCAAACAAAAGATTATTGATTGAATTGATTTCTTGTCGCCAGAAATTGAATTGAATTGTATTAAAACTTAATAAGCAAATAAAATGTGAGTTATAATGTAAACAAGTAGTCAGACATCAATTTCCCTCAAGCATGAATATATGGATGAACCAATTTCTACGATGAATTATCTACATATAAACCAATTTCTACGATGAATTATCGTCCATGTGATGTTGATCAACCTTTTTCTTATCATCGAGATGTAATCCCTTACTACCCTGATTGAAACATTAATCAGAAACCCCAATGTCTTGGTGATTCCCTTCTTAATACATGCATTAAATACTAAGATCTTAAGATCACATCAGAATCCTAGCATCAATCCCTGGACTACTAGAACACTGATGATGAAGTTGTCAATTACATAAACAATGTAAACATCCCTGTTCTACGCTATTCCCTTGATAGAAAGAATTAATCAAGACAACTTCATACAATCACATAAGAGATAAACAAAATATTCGATTGACCATTCATAAATTCACACTTAAGTTCCATTGAATCAGACTACAAAGGACTCTACTCAGACATAATTAAAAAATAAACAAGAGAAGAAGAAAGATCAAACTCCATTGTCATGATGGTTGAGTCTTCAATCTTCAATTACAATTACATAGAAATGTACTAACTAATAAAAAACTAATCCTAAAGAATTTAGAAGTTCAGAGAGAATGAAGAGTCAGATCAGATCTATGAAAGATATGATCTGATCTCCACTCTCCTAGTGTGATGGGAAATGTCAGATTAGAAAAGATATATAGTATATGATATGATGAAGGTCCTTTGCCCCTTTTATAGTTTACAAATTCTAACTGAATAACATCCAAAAACTGATACGGGAGCTAAAACTCTCATTGTTGGACGTTTTAGTGCTTAACTTGACGGGTGCCTAACCACTTTTAACTGTCCTGGGCGCTAAAACGCTTGACTTGACCGTTTTAGCGCTCAACACTAGCATCTTTGTGAACAGCAGGGCGCTAAAATGTTTGCTTTGGGAGTTTTAGCGCTCAACACCAGCACTTTTTGGCTTCATTTTGCAGCAGGGCGCTAAAACTCTTGACTTTAGCCGTTTTAGCGCCCAACACTTAGAATTTTCCAATTCTTCAGGATCTTCTTCCTTCTCTATTTTGCTTATCGAGCTTCATTTTCCTACAAGAACAATGTAAATTTTCAACATAAGCTTCAGAACTTGTATTTAGGACTTTCTAGGACATTAACCCTCTTTTCCATCCATTTAATCACATAAATTAAGCTAATTCATGCTTTAAAACTTTAAAAACCAAGGGTTTATCACTCGCAAATATTTTATTGTTAGTATGCGTTTAAAGATAAAGACCCTAGGAATAGAACAGGTGTTCAATCGGGGATCTATGATAGGGATCATGATCATGAGGACTCGAGGACACTGAATGTCTATTACCTAAAATATAGTCCTGGTCTTGAATTACCACGAAAGGGTATTGGTAATTTAAATAAGACTAGTACTACATCATCTACTTGTATGGAGATAAAAGGTATGGACCTCATGGAATGCAGGCATGGTGATGCCTTAGCTGATGTCGTGGGTGGATCTTTTGGAGAACAGATAGCACTGAACTGACCCGCTTAGAGACTCCACATGGATTTATTATGGAGAGTATCATTGGATTTGTAAAGTCTATGAACGTTTGGTAGTGCGGATCGTCCTAGACTTAAGGATTTCATCGAATACTATGTCCTAAAGTTATACTTTGATTGTATAACTCTATCCGCCTGAAAATGGGGAGAACAGTGTACTCTTGGGTATAACTCGAATACATAAGTATAGATGGACATGCCGAAACGACTCACAATCCCCTATAAGGGATTAGTCATTCACAAAGACCGGTAGGGCTGAGATGACTTCTAGTTGACTCGGGAATCTATGCATAGTAAGAGATCATGAAGAGTCATGATCTGTCTTAGAGTCAATAGAAGAAGATTCCTAGTTCCTGTGAAATATTACATGTAGTCAATAAAGAGAGATTATACTCTATCCTTGCTCTCGACTAAATGTGAATGACGATGTGAGGCATAATGGTGGCACTGTATCCAAATCAGAAAGGTAGATAACTTGATCAACTCAATTAGTTCTGGGGCTACAGAGCATTGCTAGTGTATCATGTAGTCATTAAATGAATTGGGCCTTTTAAAGGAGTTTAACTGGTTCAAGTTTATTTATGTCAGTAACTAATTGGGCCTAATGGGTCACACACAAAGGTTATTCCTTATTGCAAGTTATAGCAAGTTTGGACCAATAATGAGTAATTGGGCTTTGTCAAGACTATAAATCAAGTTGAGTTAGAGTAGGGACTCCAAGTCCACTTGATCCATGCGCCCTTTTGGGGCATTAGTGGTGAAAGAGTTTTCTCCACTAATGGGCCCAAATATGATGATAGGCCAAAGAGGCCTTGGGGCATGAATCCGCGTAAGTCAAAGAGTTGACTTGACCAAAATAAGGTTTGGGCAAATTTGAAATTTGAAATTTTGAAATTTGAATTTTGAAATTTGAATTTTTGAATTTTGAAATTTGAATTTTTGAAATTTGAATTTGGAATTTGAAATTTGTAATTTGAATTTCGAATTCGAATTACGAACTGTGATAAGATTGAATTTATATTTGTGTTTAAATTTCAAATTGGAGTTTGAAATTGGAATTTGAATTTTAAATTCTATGAGGTTAGGTTGTTGAGAATAATTAAAGGAATAATCCAATAGAGATTGGATGAAGATTCTCTCAATTACTCTTTCATTTGAATTCGGAATTTAAATGAATACTGTTGCAACAAAATTTCTGAGGAAAGGAAAGGAATTAAAGGGACGCCTAATTAAAGGGAGAGAATCAAGGAAAGTCTCTCTCATCATTCAATGTGTGCGCCTAATTAAAGGAGGCTGTTGTGGGGAGCCTAATTAAAAGGAGAGAATCAAGGAAAGTCCCTCTCATCTTTAATTTGTGCGACTAATCAAAGGGGGGCTGATGTGGTTGATCAGATTATATAAAAAACCTCATGCTACATCTCTCTAGAAAAAAAAGTGATTCTAAAGCTCCAACCTTTCCTCTTCTCTCTCTTGTTGCACCATCACCTAGCCTCAAGACACCATTATAGTCTTGATAAAAATAATCCAAAAACTTGGTAGCCTCTTCCTTGCATGTGCCTAGCCAGCCACCGAGGATAAAGAGAGATCAAGGAGAAAGAGGTTCTCGCTAGCAAGAAAGAGATAACCGTGTGGGTCATCGTTTGGAAGGCGTTATCCTTTTGCGCCTATAAGTGAAAAGGTAATTCTGAAACCTTATATCGTTTCAACGTAAAGCATTCATACATGGGGTGTATAGATGGTCTATGCTTCCGCTGCGAAATTTTTTGTTTTTCCACCCATGTATGCGCTCCATAGTTTGACTATGGTGCCGCTTTCGAACCATCAAGTGGTATCAGAGCCAGGTTCGTTGCTGCAAACGAATGGGGTTAGAAATCTGATATCGGATTTTCAAAAACTGTTTTTAAAATCTTCAATTTTTGAACAAGATTCTTAAAAATTTATTCTTTATGAAAGTACTAATTTTTTTCTTATGTGAAAGAGACATCATTTTGTGGAGACAAAGTGGCAGCCAAGAGAGTCTTGGGGCTAAGGATGGGTTTTGAATCTAGTTGGACTAGAATTGTCAAAAACCATGATGGTGATGACACCATCATAGCCGCGGCCTATATGGTGGGCAGCCGCATCACAATTTTGATTTTATGAATCTTGATCGTGTTTTGAAGATGAATTCGATAATGCTTTGCAATTGTATATTGTTGTGTATGCCTCTAACCTTCTTGTAGGTACTTTGATAATTGGATGGTTATGGTGCTATGAATGTTTGTTTATATATTTTCATTCTTTTGGTAAATGGGATTGTTTTGTCCTTATTTAAAATTCTTCATTTTTAAATTTTATATAATTTTTGGATGTAAATTTCAAATCGAAAAAGTTCAAAATGTAAGTCCCATGGAGCACAAAGATGTTTCGGCCAAGAAGATGATCCGAGGATTGAAGATGCTTTGGATTGAAAAATGGAAGGCACCATGATCATCCACTTGCGTTTAAATTTCAAATTTATGATTTTTGAAATTATGCATGCATGTGTGTTTGTTATAGAAACTCGAATTTTCAAAAACTTAAAATTTAAATTTTAAATTTCAAAAGTTTAAAGTTGTTATTCAGAATTGTGAATTCTGTTTATTTTTTAAAATTTGAAATTTAAATTTTGAATTTTTGAATTTGCGACTAGTATGCATGCTTAAGTAAACGCGATCATTCCTCGACTAGTATGCATGTTTAAACAAGCCGTTTAAAAGGAAACATGCAAGATAAAGGAAAAAAAGGATAACTAATGATGAGACTAAAAATGAACCCTCAAATAAAATTATCTAGCATGTTATGATTGCCTCCCATCATCGATGACATTCAAATCCCTTCTACATAATAGTGCTCTCTAGCTCAGCTAATACCTATTATTTAGTCGGGTAAGGGTGCCATTTGAAGTGTACGACACTTAGGATGATGGTTTGTGCTAAACTAGATACATAAACTGCAGGCTCAGCCGGGTCTATGCATCTAGGGCAATGGGCCAGGTTGTTACATAGTGATGTAACACTAAGTGACAAGGAGTTGTCAACCTGATGATCTAAGAGAAGATATGGAGATATTGTTGATAAGATCAACCCACTAGATAAGTTAGTTTTGTAGGTTCAGCCGGAGACTAATGGACCTAGTCGTTCTCTTAGCCCATTAAGGATGTCCTTGTGAAGGATAACCCTAAATCAATCACCGAGGGTCATTGATTTTAGATAAAATAGTGGGAGGACCATTACGTTTAAAAGTCTCCATATTTGGTTATTATCATGAAATATTTATGTAAGTTTATCTTTATTTTTGGAAATTGAGTTATGGCCGTAAATTTGAATTTACGCTCTATTCTGGATACTAACAAGTTAACTGGACCAAACTTCACGGATTGGTATAGGAATGTAAAAATAGTTTTACGTTCTGAAAAGAAAGCAAGCATATGTTATGGATTCTCCTGTTCCTGTTGCCCCTGCTAAAGGGAAAAATGGGTATGACCAGTATGACTGGGAAGCTCATAGACATCATTTGGCAGACAATGAGCAGGTAGTATATATATTGTTTGCGTCTATGTCTGCGGAGCTTCAGCGTCAACATGAGCATATGGATGCTCCCTCCTTAATCTTGCATCTTCAAGAGCTTATGATAAGCAAGGGAGGGCTGAGCATTTTGAAATCTCGAAGGAGCTGTTTGGCTATAAGATGGCTGAGGGTATGGCGGTTGGACCGCACATCCTCAAGATGATTGGGCTGATAGAGAAGCTTGCTTCTCTGGGTTTTATCATGGACCATGAGCTAAGTGTTGACTTAGTCTTGCAGTCCTTGCCACGTTCATATAATGGCTTTGTGGTCAACTACCATATGAACAAGGTGGTGACAACACTCCCATAGTTGTTGAATCTCTTGACCACTATTGAGGGTGATGTTAAAAGGAACAGGACCCAAGCTCTTCTGATTGGCGGGCTTAAAAAGACCAAGGGTAAGGGGAAGTCTGTAGAATCAAACAAGCTCATGCCCAGAGGTCAGCCCAA